ACAAAGGGTATTACATATGTGTCCTTTTTCTTACCCCCCAACCTTGACAATCCCCTGGCCTCCCCTACCCCCCGTGTCTTATGTCCATTGGTTATGCTTATATGCATGCATACAAGTCCTTCGGTTGATCTCTTACCCCCCTCCCTCCTGCCTCCCAACACTCCCTGGCCTTCCTGTTGCAGTTTGACAATCAGTTTGAGGCAGCTCTGCCTCTGTATCTATTATTGTTCATAAGTTTATAATGGTCTTTATTATCCATGAATGGGTGAGATCATGTGGTATTTTTCCTTCATTGAATGGCTCATTTCACTTAGCATAATGCTATCCAGTTCCATCCATGCCGTTGCAAATGGTAAGAGTTCCTTCTTTTTTATAGCAGCATAGTATTCCATCGTGTAGATGTACCACAGTTTTCTAATCCATTCATCTACTGATGGGCACTTAGGCTGTTTCCAGATCTTAGCTATGGTGAATTGTGCTGCTATGAACATAGGGGTGCACATATCCTTTCTGATTGGTGTTTCTGGTTTCTTGGGATATATTCCTACAAGTGGGATCACAGGGTCAAATGGGAGTTCCATTTTTAGTTTATTGAGGAAACTCCATACTGTTGTCCACAGTGGCTGCACTAGTCTGCATTCCCACCAGCAGTGCACGAGTGTTCCTTTTTCTCCACATCCTCTCCAGCACTTGTCCTTTGTTGATTTGTTGATGATAGCCAGTCTGACAGGTGTGAGATGGTACCTCATTGTTGTTTTGATTTGCATCTCACGGATGATTTGAGCATGTTTTCATATGTCTCTTGGCTTTCTGAATGTCCTCTTTTGAAAGGTGTCTATTTAGATCCTTTGCCCATTTTTTGATTGGATTGTTTACCTTCTTTTTGTTAAGTTGTATGAGTTCCCTATAAATTTTGGAGATTAGGCCCTTATCAGATATGACATTGGCAAATATGTTTTCCCACACAGTGGGCTTTCTTGTTGTTTTGTTGATGGTTTCTTTTGCTGTGCAGAAGCTTTTTATTTTGATGTAGTCCCATTTGTTCATTTTCTCTTTAGTTTCAAGTGCCCTAGGAGCTGTATCAGTGAAGAAATTGCTTCGGCATATGTCTGAGATTTTGCTGCCTTTGGATTCTTCTAGAATTTTTATGGTTTCCCATCGTACATTTAAGTAAAAGGAATTTTATTAAGTGGTTATGAATTAAGGAAGAGTTTTTGTTCAAAAGCATTAGCCTCAAGTCCTACATACTAAATCAACTATTGCATTTCTAGTCTTAAAGGGTTAAGAAAACAAAAAATACCCCCCCGCCCCAAAATTGATTATCCTCATGATATGGAGTGGAGAAGCTGACAATGGAAAACTCAGTCTGCAACACTAGGTTCATAGATTACTGCAACCTGGTCAGGACAGCTCCTCTGCAACCTGTTAACTGAGGAACACATTTTCTGCTCTTTCTCCTCAAGAGGAGCACTGCCATATTTCACAGATATCAAAGTCCCCAACAATAGGCACTTTGCAGTGTTTACACTGACTGTTTATTGTACTACTTCAGAAAAAAAGCAAAATTTAAAAAAAAAATATTTTCTAGTCATTTTTATTTAAAAAGAAAAATGTACATATTCTTAGGAGGGTCCCCAGTTCTGAGAAGGAGCATACTCCGATTTCTATTCAAACACATATTTTTTAAAAAGGCCAAAAGCAAAGGAATATTGGGGGAGAAGAGCATCCCTCTTTAACTTACTGTATTTATACACATTGATTATAGTTAGAGGCTTGAGCTTGCCATATAAATCTCTCTTTTTCTCTTTGAAAACGAGTTTCTTCAAGTCTTCCACCATCTGCCTATCAGATTGAGGGTATAATAAGCATTTCCTTTTTAAACAAACTTCTGGTCTTGAAACAGAGATATCCCCAGGCTGAATTCAAGTTCAAACATATATCTTGCAGAAAATATTATTTTAGTAAGCTCTCAATGTCTCAGCACATGCAATATAACATATACTCTTATATGCTCATTGATCACAACATGAATTCTTTCTACATTATACTGACAAGATTTCATGTTTATGTGTCACCGGGTATTTAAAAATCCTATACTAGTCATCATTTAGTTGTGTAGAGTTGGATCCAGGACAAAGCACCATTAACTCCATTTCCAGTTGTAATAATTTGCTCAATATCACATTGCCTGCTCTCCTCAGTCTTTGAAAAGTCAATCAAATAATACTGAGTTTGGCTGCCTGAAATAGAGTAAACTCTAGCTGTCATATTATAGAAAGGACATTCACCAAGGATTTAGGAGGCCTGGGATTTAGCCCCACCACTAGCTGTGTAATCTTGGGCATTTCACTTAATTTCTCTGGGTCCTAGTCTCCCAAATAAAGGAGACAAAATTAAGAACACTGAAACCTACTTTATAGGATAGTGGCCAAGAAGAAATGAAGTCAAGTATGTATACTATATCTATAAATCTCAAAGTTGCACAAATGTAACATTGATAATGACAAAAACAATTAACAGCTTGCAAACAAAGTGTGCAAGACAGAAAAATGAATACTTCTTTTGAGTCCTGAAAGTGACTTGTCCTAGTAGTGAGGCTCTCTGACCATTGGTTTGGTAGAGGGCAACTAAAGTTCAACATCTCCATGCTAGGGTCAGCCCTGCAAACAAGTTAAGACCAGTAGTATTTTTCTGATTCAAAACAGGCCAACCTAAGGCAGAGAAAGAACTATTTGGCCAATCTGTAGTTTTCACTATATCAAGTTGCACTAAACACACACACACACACACACACACACACACACACACACACACACACCCCTTGCTACCTTCTGGTTTGGCATTAGAAACAAAGAAGATATTTTAATTGTGATTACTATTCTAATTGTATCTACACACAAAAAATTTTTTTTGTAAGATTCCCCAGAGCTTTGTGAGTAAATAAGAACATGGATACTACAACAAGAATTTTTGTTTAGCTTCACAGATTAACTTGAGATAAAGGTTCAAAGTGATTTATGAAAAAGAAATGATAAACTGCCCAGCCATTTTGGGTGCTCGGAAGGAAAATGGTCTAAATGGCCAAACTGAGGAGATGACACTTCTTTATCTCTTCATCTTACAATATGTAAAAAGACTGCAGAATAGTAGGTCATTCTAGTTTTAAGGGAAAAGAAAAAAGGGAGAAAACTGGGAGTATGAAAGAGGGAAGCAAAATACTAGGGCTTTTAAGTAGCACATAACTATGAAAACAGTTACAAGCAAAACGTAGACTTACAGAGATTTCCATAATAGAATTTGTCATATGATGTGGATCTCACAAATATTTATTATGGAGTCTCTGCAATGCTGTTAAGAGTATTATACTGTTCTATGAACCACATGGTAGCCATTTTTGAAATATTAATAACTTGACTTTTCATTTTTAAAAAAACTCAAAATAACCTGACTTCAAATTTCTAGTTCCAAAAGTTATTTCAGAAATCAAGCTACTCTTTCCAGAACAAATGAACACGACTCGTGTTTTTCTTTCTTCTCTTACCCAGCATTTTCTCTACCAAGTATCAGTAATTTCTTAGCCTCTAATTTTCATTTATCTTTCTTAAAAGGAATTCACAGTCCTTCCTTACAAAGAGTAACTGCCTTACACTAGAGATATCTCAAGAAAGATTCCACTCCTCAGGAAGAATGATTTCCACAGAACTCCTAGGCTCCCCCAAATTTTGAAATAGGAACAAAACTGGAACTGAAATGGTCTCATATCTTCTTATAGGATTCCCCTTTTTAAAAGGGATGAAAATCGCCTGGCCAGCATGGTTCAGTGGGTGAGCATCGACCTATGGACCAGGAGATCACAGTTCGATTCCCAGTCAGGGCATATGCCTGGGTTGTGGGCTCAATCCCCAGTGTGGGTGTGCAGGAGGCAGTCAATCAATGATTTTCTCTCATCATTGAGTTTCTATTTCTTTCTCCTCCCTTCCTCATTTTTGTTTTGACTATGTATGGGAAAACTTATTTAAAAGGATATCAATTTTGTCAGGTTCTGTACTGTCTACATTTTATGAAAGGGGAAAACAAACAAACAAACAAACAAACAAAACGCTACTATAGCCTGAGCCACAGCAATACTAGAAGGAAATGCAATATTGAGACCAGGAGTAATTTACATGTAAACTGGCAGCGGGAGAACAAAACCAGGCTGGTGAAAGTTGAATCTTGTAAAATATGTCATAGGTCCACTTTCTGGAATAGTTTTGGGTTCTAAGAAGGTGGCAATGCCAAATTCATGCAAAAGGAACACTTGGTGTGAAGAGCACAGAGGGAAGAGGTGCCCATCCTTGATACATGATCCTTGCCCACTTGCCTGCTCACAGGGCACACCTTCCTACATTATTTCTCCAAAGGGTGCCCAAAGAACATCAAAGGGATAGCCATCCAGCTGGTCATTACACACCTACCAAAGTGAATAACACACTGCCACAAAAACAGAGGCTTGAGTCGTAATTGAGTGCTTGTCTGAGTTAATGAAGATGGGTGAGGGCATAGAAGGGGAAGGAGAAATACTGATTAATATCAACTGATCATTCAAACAAGTATCTGACGGTGCCTCAGAACTTCCAATCTGTAGGCCAAATACAGTGGGGTAGGGATTCCTCAACCACTGATAAGTCATCTGTTGGAAAATGGAAAAAAAACAAACAAACCATGCTTCCAGAATCAGAGCCAAATTGCCCTCCACCGAGACCTTCTCAGATGCAGGTCAAAGCACATAACACTTACACAGGCCCAATCTTAGTGGGAAAACAGAGCTTAATAGTGATTTCTCACACACAACCCAAAAAGTTTAATTTAATAGGTTCACTTCAGGAGAGGGGCTCATTTTCTGTGTTGTTCATGGCAACTGATCTATATACCTTTCAGGCTAATTTGTCATTAGAAAACATTTAGGTTTGTAATAATAATCTCTCTCTCTCTCCTTTTTTTTTTTTTAGACACATCTGTTGAGGGGAAAAATACCAAAATTTATTTTCCATCAGTCAGCATCAGCAGGTAAAACTACAAGGTTTTCTCCGTAGATCGTACATTCACAAGGCATAACAGTGAGAAAGCCTCTGGCATGTCCTCCGTAACAATATCCACTTCACAGTGTAAACAGGTTCTAGTCTTGTGTTCATTTACAATTTCAGAAGGAAAGGCACAACTTGGCAAAAAAAATAATAATTTTTTTTTTTATCCTGAAGTCAGGTGCAATAACTCAGAGACCAACTTTTGATACACGTTTTGATGTACATTTCCACATTGAGGGGAAAGACTCAGAAAACAGGGTCTTTCCTTCTTCTTCCTCGTTAAACCATCAGAGCAAAGTTTCAGCATTTGCTTATTATATATGCAAGAAAGGGATTAAAAAAAAATCACAAAACATCTTGAAGGTCCAGCCACTCCCACCAATACATCAACTCTTAGGTTTAAGACAGGGACTGGGAACACTTTCAGTGGTCATAAAATAGGAAAAGAGAGACTAAAGCTACAAAAATAAAAAATAAATGAGGTAGATAAATTAAAGCTTTCATAGCCAGGACTCGCCTGTTCCAACTTCGTAACCTTCATGCAGTACTCACGGGGGAAAAGAATCTTCACAATTACTTGGCATAAGTCACATCAAAATTTTTATAAAAAGTAGTATGTGAACCTCTTATCAGAAATATGCCCTCCATGAGTTTCTTCAAGAATGAAAGACTCATTTCTTCGCTAGAGTAGGCACTGGTGAACTAAATCAAGTCACCTGAGGTCCCCTGCTCAGGTGCCCACCTGTCCTGGTGCTCAGGAAGGCGGCATCGGGAAGCAGGGAAGACATTGGCACGCTTAGGGCTCCCACTGAACTCTATTTCAACAGCAGCAACACACACACCGACTCCCGAGGGACTAAGATCGTCCATTGGAGGGCATCCTACTCAGGGGCCCAAGGTGGAAGGAATTTTGTAATGCCACACCTTAGTTAAAAATAAAAAGGAAAGTACATTCAAAAAGGAAAACAAAAGATGGGTGCAGGGTTGAGGGACATACAAAGCAGGCCACCGAGGACAACAGACCTAGTCCATTTACCCACACACAGTCCCGGAAGTATGCAGCCCCCCTATCCCCAGTGAGGCTAAGCAGTTTCTTTCCCATCGTGGTTTAGTAAGTTCCAACTTGAAATAGGGGACAATCTTTGGAAATAGTTCCTCTAGCTTGTACAAAGTCTTCATATATACAGTTTGTCTCAAGTAACAAAGCCACTTTGCAAGACCCGCTTCTTCCAAAATTAAAAAAAAATACTAGTCTGTATTTATTTTAGTATGTGTGTGGTTTGGTTTGGTTTTTTTAGCAAAACAGCATAGCAACATCGTGATTGTTGGACGTGCCTGAGGTTGTGGTCACAACTGTAAACATTTGCACATCAGTAAAAAACAAACAGGAGGAGATGGGCTTTTAAACAACAACAACGACAAAAACAAAAGATCCAGTTCAAGCGGTCACTCTGCATTTCTCCTTCACACGGGCTCTCCCGTCGCTTAGCTGACCGCAATCTTGTTTTCCTTCAGGAAGTGAGGGGACAGGTGTTTGGGGACGCTGTCAGCAGCACCCGGCTTTTCCACATCACTGCTAACCGACTGGGAGCCATTGATCTTGGAGACGGTGGTGTTGCTGACAACGGAGCTGGCACCTAGGGACACCGGGAGAGTCGGGATGACTCTGCTCTGGATCACTGAGATCTCGTTGGTCTTCATGGCCAGACCACCGTTGAGCATGGTGGTGTACTGGTTCCACACAACAGGGTCCACATTCAATGAAGGAGCCATGATTTCCTTGGGAAACACCTCTGGGACCCTCTTTGTGTCTGTTCCTAGAAGAGCCATGGTGTTCTCGATGACCAGCTTCCTCCAGCGGCATGCGGAGCTGTTGTTGGCGCCATGCGTCATATAGTGAACCTTCAAGTTGCCTTTGGTGGTGAAAGCTCGCCCACAGATGTTACACACAAAAGGCTTCTCCCCCGTGTGAGTCCGCTCATGAATTTGGAGGGCGCTGGCTGACGAGAAGTTCTTCCCGCACCGCGGGCAGGTGTGCTGCTTGCCCTGGCGGTGTGGCTGGGCCGCCAGCAAAGGTGCCAGGCCTGGGGACATGGTCGCGGGTCCAAACGCACCAGGAACTTCCACTTTGACATAGGTTGGCTGGGCTCGGACAAATGCTGATGGGAGACTTCTCCGGCCTTCCATCTCAGTGCGGCTGCTGTCCAAGCTGTCTGCTTTGCCACCAGCATCAGGAGACTTGGACTTGATGCTTTCTGCTTGGCTATTGGCCGGGGAGAGGGCCTGAAAGGAGGTCGCCTCCAGGATGTCTGGACTTCGGCTCTGATACTCCTGGTCTCCCATCACTGAGGACGAGTAGTCGTTGGTCAAGCCATCGCTCTCCACCGAACCGTTCTCTCGGCTGCTCTGCTGCTGCAGGACCAGAGGAGCAGGACCCAGCTTCCCTGAGGCCTCCAGGGGGCCATCAAGGTGAACCCTGTTGTGGGCGATGCCGAGTGGATGCCGGAAAGAGGCAGGGGGACCTTCAAGGAGCTGCTGGGAACATCCTGGGAGCCGACTTCATCAACATCGATGATTTCGAGAATGTCGTCGTGACAGACAGCACCTGTGCTGCTGTTCTCACCCACCATCATCAGCTCCGGACCCACCAAGTCACAGGGACTCTCCGGCAGGGGCGTGTTGGGGATCTGACCGCCCATGTGCATCCGAATATGCTGCTGCAACATGACTGCGTTGGTAAACTTCTGGCAGATGGGGCACGAGTGCTGCGTCTTTATGGAGGTGTTGGTTCGGTGAACCCCGAAGTGTGTCTTCAGGTTGCACTTGTGCCTGTAGACGGTGGCCTCGTCTTTGGGTTTGACATCCACCGGGGACACGTTGGGTGGCTTCCCTTTCCCTTTCTTAGACGGGTCTAACGCCACCGTGGAGAAAGGGCTCTGGAAGAGCACAGAGCTTGGGTTCAGGGGTAGCAAAGCACCGGGGATGCGGTTTGGGAGCACCCTCGTCCCATCCGGCCTCAGGGCGAAGGACAGCAGCCCCGGGGACACCGAGCTGGTGGGGGAAGGGATGCTTGTGTGAGGTAGCTTGGCTTGTTTCAAGGTGTCCAGGGACAGGCCTTGGCTTCCAGCTTTCTGGCTGAGCAAAGCCACGGCCGCAGAGACCTGCTGGGACACGTGGCTGCCTAAGGTCTTCAGGGTGTCCGCTCCTGCTACACCGGAGTGGAGGGCATGGGCGGCCCACATGTTCACCTGGACTCGGATCTGCTCCGTGAGCTGGATCTGCTGTAGCTGCTGCTGCTGCAGACACAGGATCTGCTCCAGGACCCACGGGATGCTGTTGGCACCGGGCAGGGGGGCGGGCAGCGCGTCCGCGCTCCGCTGATTCACTGCCACCTTGGTGCCCCGTAGTGCTTGAAGAGTGACGTTAGGGTTGGCCACTTTGCCTTTGGGTAAATAGCTTAAGTCCTGGGCTGTGGGTGGCAGGGCGGGCTCTGTCTTTAAGTACAGGACAGACTCCGCCCCTGGCTTCTCCTTCATGTCCCCTGAGCTGCTGCCACTCTCCCTGTGACTGTCCTTAATGCTTGGACTGCGTGGCGGGTGGCTCAGCCCAGCCCCGGAGAAGTCTTCGGAAGGCATCGGCCCCTCGATGTCCTTCATGCTGAGGACAGGTGGGTGTTTAGTGCAATTTTTATGTTGTAAGAACTCAGAGACGCTGAAGAACTCTCCGCAGCATTTCTCACAGATGTGAGTCACCTCCTGACGAGGCCTCTTTACTGTCGCTGGGTCCCCATTCATGTCATCGCCAGTCCCCGGGTAGTTCACTGAAGCACCCGGCTCCCCCGCCGCCGGCGCCGCTGAGGCCGCGACCCCCGGGGCCGGCTGGGGCGGTGGCTGCGTGCCGCGCTCCTCCTCGGCTGGATGTGCTGCGGCTTCGCCTGCTTGCGCCTCGACATGGTGCGAGCATGGGGGCGCCCGCAGCGCGTGGCGACTCGCCCGCTCCAATAATCTCAATTTAGCTAATTTACACAGCTTTGATTATAAGGCCCCATTAAAGAAGCTGAAAGGGGAAGAGTTGTATATCGAACTAGAGGCCAAGTGCACGAAATTTATGCACGGGGGGGGGGGGGGCTATCCTGCAGCGAAGCCTGCACCCTCTCCAATCAGGGACCCCTTGGGGGATGTCCGACTGCTGGTTTAGGCCCGACCCCTGTCAGACATCCCTCTCACAACCCAAGACTGCTGGCTCCCAACCACTTGCCAGCCTGTCTGCCTGATTGCCCCTAACTGCTTCTGCCTGCCAGCCTGATCACCCCCTAAACACTACCCTGCCTGCCTGATCGATGTCTAACTGCTCCTATGCCAGCCCGATCGCCCCTAACTGCCCTCCCCTGTTGGCCATCTTGTGATGACATGGAGGGTGGCCATCTTGTGACCACATGGGGGCAGCCATCTTGTGCGAGGGCATTATGGTCAATTTGCATATTACCTCTTTATCATATAGGATACCACTGACCCTTTCAGAGTGCTCAGCCTAGGACCTGAAAAGAAGTACATTTTGCTACTCTTTCAATACTGAGAAGTGGAATAGATAACCAGTTTAAGGCAACAAAGTAGGAAGGTGGGGAGAAAAGGTAGATATTTGGCAAAAGAGGATGCATGCCTATGGAATAAACTAGTTGCTGAATGGAGTGGTATTATCTATTCTTTATTTGACTCTTCCTCCCAAAGTCTCCTTGAAATGCTGGTGCTGGGAGGCGGTGTGCTCTCTGTCCTTTTTTCTCGTTGGCTCTCTTCGACAAGATCGTGGCTTGCTTGATATACTGCTGATGTCCACATCTACATGTGTAACCCAAACTTGTGTCTGGGATTTAAATTCATATATACAATGGCCTACCTGACTTCTCCCCATAGATGCCTTAGACTAAACATAACCAAACCTGAACTCTTCTTCCCATCAAACCCCCTGTTCTTCCAGTACCCCCTCTCTTGGTGAATGAAGCTGTTATCTGTCTCAACATCTATTTCTCCACCATCTGTACTACCTACGTCCAAATAAATACCAATTTCTATTTATTTTCTTCCCAAATAACTTTTAAATTATTCTTTCTTCCATCTCTGTTGCTACTATTAGCACTTTCCTAGAACACTATAAAATATTTCCAATTGGTCTCCCTGCTGCTTATGTGATTCCCTCAACAACCTTCCACATGGCCACCAGAGTCACCTTAAAAAAAAAAAAAAAAGAAAGAAAAGATATTGCTTGCATATTTAAACCTTTTAGTCACTCCCCATTATCTTGACAGTATAAGGTCCTGGCCTGGCCTTGCTTTCCAATCTTATTTCTCACCTCTCTTCCACTTTTGCCATATTGAACTACCTACAGTCAGCACCCTCATACACACTCCAAATGTTTTCTCTGTTTGGGGACCCTCTTCATAGTTCATCTGCCTACGAGATTCCTACCTATTCTTTCAAAGCCCTTCTCATGTGTCACTTTTGTCAAAGAGAGAAAGTGCTTAATATCCTAAACTTCCTTTCCGTGTTTCTTCTATATCTTATGCATGTCTCTATTATTACTTATCATATTTTTTTTGTCTGCCTTAAAAGCAGATTTTTGTAAATTTAGGGCCTAGCACAGAGCAAGGTACACAGTACATGTTGAGTATGTCTATACAAATTACTGAGAAAGGCTTCATGTGATCTGGAGTAACCACAGGGCTTATTTACTCAGAGCAGCTGGACTATAAGAACAGCTTTTATGAAATAGATGGAAGTTGGCAAGGCGATGGGGAGGAAGCGATCGCAGAAAAATCTGAGTAATAAATATTCATAACCTGACTATACAAATGAGTAAAAACTGAAAAATGTAATCTGTCCACTGAGTCCAGGCTGATCAAGTCATTTTGCTGCATAAAACTACATAAAACAACATTACTCTTCATCAATCTATTCAATTTTCTTTTTTCCCTCAAAAGAAAGGGATAATTACAAAATACAGGATTCTTTGATAATATTTTACATTGGCTTTTATTTTTTCATTATTGGCCCAGCTGGCCTAGTATGCCTTCAGCCTACTTCCACTTTATCAGCAGGAAATCTCATTTTCAGCTCAAAAGAAAATCATGAGTGTTCCTGAGCCAATAATCCAGGCTGACAGAATGACACCCAGGATGTTCACACTAAAGAAACTGAGGCACAGAGCAATACAATAACCAGCTCAGGTCCCAGAGTAGGAATTAAATAATTTGAATCAAATTTATAATTCCCAGCTATATCCTCTCACCTGCACTATTAAAAATAATGGCTCTCAGAGAGAGCCAAGTTGGCAGCACAGGTAAACACCTGTACTTACATCCTCCCACAACCACATCAAAATTACAACTAAACTACAGAACAACCAGCATTCTGAACTGCCTGAAAGCTGGCTGAATGGAAGTCCTATAACTAGAGAAGTAAAGAAAAAAGCACGCTGAGACTGGTAGGAGGGGCAGAGGCGCCAAATGAGCTGGACCAGCACCCATGTTTGCAGATTTTTTAACTGGGAGGGAGATCATCTCAGTGGAGGCCCCCCATGAGGAGCAAGGGGTCCCAGCCCCACACCAGACCCCCAGCCCAGGCTCTCAGAGCTGAGAAATCCCCATAACTACAGCTATAAGAACCAGCAGGGATTGGGGTTCAGTGATACAGAGGCTACTGGTGACCCAGCTGTTCCTATTAAAGGGCTGGCACATTAACTGAACTTACGCTTCCTCTGAGCTCCAGCACCAGGGAGAGGCTCTGGGGGACCCAGACACATACAAGGAGGTACTGAATTGTCTGGCATCAGAGAAGTAACTCAGGGGTGGCTTTCTCTCAGACAGAGGTACTTGCAGGAATCATTGTTCCTATGTTGGAACCTCCTCAGTTACAGGGCTGACTGGCAGCCATTTCTGTTTGCTCCACCGGTGATTCCCTGAGACCCTGTCCCATCCAATTTGAAGCCCCACTCAACCTGTGTGCAGCGGCTTTTGCCAATAAATGGTCTGTCCTTGCTCAGGCTTCAGACTTTGCTAAAATCTCTCAAACAAGCTGCAGCTGGGTCAGGGTGGGCCAAACCTATCAATAAAAGCCACAAGACTCGGCACTAGCATCAGCCTGCCTTGCTTCACCGATATAAATAGAAGGAATATGCAGATCTCTCTGTAGCTCCTGCTGGGTGGCTCCAGGCAGTGGTTGACTTTGCACCTCACTGGAGACCCAAGAGCCAGTGTATCCAGTGGACAGTGTCAGACTATACCAGATTACAACTCTACACATCCATAAGCAACACACTCAAAGGCCAGACTCAGTGAACACCAAAGACACACTGAAGCAAGTCCTGCTCCATAGGGGTGTCTCCTGCACAGCAGCTCTCTCACTGTAGTCATAGCTGATCCTCACAGCCAATCGGCCTGGAGGTCAATTCCTCCCAGTGACACCAAGAGCAATCAAGGCTCAACTACAACAAGACTGTACACATAGTCCACAAAGGGGCACACCTAGAGTGCACAGCTCTGGGGACTGGGGATGCTAAGCCACTGTGCTCTATAGAACACCTACTACACAAGGCTACTCTACCAACTCAAGGAGAAATAGCAGCTCTACCCAATATATAGAAACAAACACATGGAAGCAGCCAAAATGTGGAGACAAAGAAACACGTCACAAATGAAAGAAATGGAAGAAAGCAGACTACTGGATACAAAGTTCAAAAACACGTTCATAAGATTACTCAAGAGTCTTCATGAGACTTTCAAGGATCTTAGTGAGAATGTCAAAGACATGAAAAAGGACTAGTCAGAACTTAAGCATACACCAACTGAAATAAAGAGTAATATACAGAGATTCAACAGTAAAGTAGAGGATTCTGAGAATCAAATCAATGATTTGAAATATGAGGAAGCAAAAAACACCCAACCAGAAGAGCAAAAAGAAAAAAGAATAAAAAAAATATGAAGATAGTATAAGGAGGCTCTGGGACAACTTCAAGTGTACCAACATCTGCATTATGGGGGTGCCAGAAAGAGAAGAGAGAGAGCAAGATATTGAAAACCTATTTGAAGAAATAATGACAGAAAACTTCCCCTGCCTGGTGAAAGAAATAGAGTACAAGTCCAGGAAGTATGGAGAGTCCTAAACAAGAGGAACTCAAAGAGGACCATACCAAGACACATCATAATTAAAATGCCAAGGGGTAAAGACAAAGAGAGAATCTTAAAAACAGCAAGCGAAAAGCAGTTAGTTGCCTACAAGGGAGTGCTCATCTGACTGTCAGTTGATTTCTTAATAGAAACTCTGCAGGCCAGAAGGGAGTGGCAGAAATATCCAATGATGAATAGCAAGGCCCTACAACAAGATTACTTAACCAGCAAAGCTATCATTTAGAATTAAAGGTCAGATGAAGAGCTTCACAGACAGCAAAAAGCTAAAGGAGTTCATCACCACCAAACAAGTATTACATGAAATGTTGAAGGGTATTCTTTAAGAAGAGGAAGAAGAAAAAAAAGATAAAAAATATGAACAAGCTGTTTGGAATCGCAGTGAAAGGAGTGCGTTGGTGTGAAGGATTAACAATGGACACCCAGAAGAATGTCCAACCCCCAAAGCAGCAGCCAATAATATATATCTGTGGAGAATGTCACGCAGAAAATGAAATGAAATCCAGGGATCCAATCAGATGCAGAGAATGTGGATACAGAATAATGTACAAGAAAAGGACTAAAAGATTGGTGGTTTTTGATGCTTGATGAAATGGAATTCAGAAAAATATCTTTGTTTGTATTTGGATTTGCTGTTATTGTTGTAGAGTTTTTGATGAGTATACTTATCTTTATGAATTCAACTACATACACATGATCTCATTTTAAAAACCATAATGTATTTAGGTGTCTATTATAAAGATTGTTTTTTGTTTAGTTCAAAAAATATGAACAATGAACTGGTAATAAATACATATCTATCAACATTGAACCTAAGAATCAAAATAAATGAATAAGAGATCTAATGGATAGAATAAACTAGTGAATAAAATAGCATGAGAGGCATGGAAATGGAACAGACTGACAATTCTCACAGGGAAGGTGAGTGGGGAAGAGATTAAACCAAGTTCTTATATGTATATATGCATTATCCATGGACACAGACAATAGGGGGGCGAAGGGCTGGGGCAGGACTCCCTTTTTTCACTAGATAATTCATTTTGATTCCAGGTTTTCATGAGTACCCCAAACCTCTCTTTTCTAAACTAATCCCCAGTTGAGACCCTTACATACTTCTGTAAGCACTAAGTCCTGAAATGAAGTGGACATTGATCTAGGATGGCTATCAGTATATATAGTTGGCTTCTGATCAACTGCTTTCTGTGAAGTTTCAATGTTGGGCATATTTGTATTGAATTATGAAAATGAAAATGATTTCCCCTCTAGTTGTAAATTCCTACCAATCAAATTCCTGCTAATGCTTTTTCATTTAGTATCTTGCTTTCTCAGCGTCTACCTAAATGAGATAAGGAGAAACTCTGGAGTCAAAATGCAAAAAAAGGTGATGATCTTCACAGTTCACCACTACCTTATTGCAGGCTTTTAACAAGATTCTTGGCATTAATTGGAAGAGAGGAAGCAGTCCCACTGCTGTTATAGGGAAGTATACATCTTCACTAAGCCTTGAGAACAGAGACTTGGACTACATAAAGAAGAGAAGATGACTGCACTACATTAAATTTTCCATTAACTTTGGAAAAATAAGCCAGACATTTACACTTTCTGCTTATGTGAGATTTTCATCATCTCCTGAAAGTAATTTCATCCAAATTTCCCATGTGTTTCCACATAGCAGCATTTGTTATATAATGACCTCATAAGACTTAGCCATCATTTTACCAACTACTCACCCTGCTTCTAAGGCCAGGGGTAGGTAACTCCTGGCCTGCGAAATCAGTTGGTCTGGTCCTCCCAAGGCATTATGGGTGAGTTAATTAAATGTTTGAACAAATATAGCAAGCTAATTTTTAAGTTGATAATTTTGCATGGCCTGCGAATGATATTATTAATATCCAAATGGCCCTTGGGGGTAATGACCAACACCACTATCTTGTCCCTCATAGGGTAAGCCTGGAGAGAAGGAAAAAGAAACCCACCCCCACCTTCTGACATAGAAAATTCCACCCACTGAACAGTTATCTCTCTCACATTGATGTTTCTCTATCTGTATGTCTCTCCCCATCCCTTCCACTCTCTCTAAAAATCAATGGAAAAAATATCCTCAGGTGAGGATTAACACAGAAAAACTAAAATAAAACTTATGAGCTTTCGAGAAACCAAGATGGCGGCATAGGTAAACACCTGAAATTGCTGCCTCGCACAACCACTTCAAAAATACAACTAAAAGACAAAACGGATATCACCTAGAACCACAGGAAGGCTGGCTGAGTGGAAATTCTACAACTAGAAGGAAAGAGAAAAGCACACTGAGACTCAGAGGAGGTGCGGAAGTAAAGTGCAGAGGTACAGAGGCGCACGCAGAAAGGGCTGGCAACTGAGGGCGTGGTTGTCTTTTTCGATCGGGAGGGAGGCACAAGCTCCCGATTGCTCTGAACTCCAGTTCTGGGCGAGTCTCTGGGGACCCAGACTCATATGGGGAGAAACTGGACTGTCTGGCATTGGGTGGAACTCGAGGGCGGCTTTTACTCAGAGGTGCTTGCAGCAATTACCACTGGACACTGAGACCTGGGGCCTCTTAGGGCAGGGCTGAGATCAGCCATAGCTGTTTGCTCCACCCTGTTGATTCCCTGAGACCCCGCCCCACCCAGGCTGTGCGCAGAGGCTTTTGCATATGAATGGCCTGACCCTTTGCAATCTAAAACTACCTAACAAACTTCAGCTGTGTCAGAGAGACACAGAACATCCAAAAGAAGGCCCAAGGCCCCACAGCAGCTTGCACTGCTTCACAGCTGGGCCTCATCTGGGCACCTCCAAACCCCAAACAAAGAAGAGGAATCTGCAGATCTCTCCATAGCTTCTGCTGGGTAACCTCAGGCAGAGACTAAATTAGCACCTCCTTAGAGATCCAAGAACTAGTGTACCCAGTGGTCAGAGTGGGACCATCCAGATTACAACTCCTCAGATCCATAAGGGACACACTCAGGGGCAGACTCAGTGAGCACCAAAGCCCCACTGAAGCAAGTCTTGCCCAAAAAGGTGTCTCCAGCACAGAAGTTCTCCCACCATAGACACAGCTGATTCTCACAGCCAATTGGCCTGGAGGTCAATTCCTCCTAGTGATACCTACAACAATCAAGGTATGCAGAGACAAAGAAACAGGTCACAAATGACAGAAATGGAGGAAAGCAAACTACTGGATATGGAGTTCAAAACCATGGCTATAAGGTTTTTCAAGAATTTTCTAGAAACCGCCGATAAATTTAGTGAGACCCTCGATAAATCTAGTGAGACCCTCGAGGATATGAAAAAGGACCAACTAGAAATTAAGCATACACGGACTGAAATAAAGAATAATATACAGAGATCCAACAGCAGACTAGAGGATTGCAAGAATCAAGTCAAAGATTTGAAATACGAAGAATCAAAAAACACCCAACCAGAAAAGCAAAAAGAAAAAAGAATCCAAAAATACGAAGATAGTGTAAGAAGCCTTTGGGACAACTTCAAGCGTACCAACATCCGAATTATGGAGGTGCCAGAAGAAGAGAGAGAGCAAGATATTGAAAACATATTTGAAGAAATAATGACAGAAATCTTCTCCTACCTGGTGAAAGAAATAGACTTACAAGTCCAGGAAGTGCAGAGAACCCCTAACAAAAGGAATCCAAAGAGGACCACACCAAGACACATCATAATTAAAATGCCAAGAGTAAAAGACAAAGAGAGAATCTTAAAAGCAGCAAGAGAAAAACAGTTACCTACAAGGGAGTACCCATATGATTGTCACCTGATTTCTCAACAGAAACTATGCAGGCCAGAAGGGAGTGGCAAGAAATATTGAAAATGATGAATGCCAAGAACCTATAACCAAGATTACTTTATCCAGCAAAGCTATCATTCAGAATTGAAGGTCAGATAAAGAACTTCACAGATAAGAAGAAGCTAAAGGAGTTCATCACCACCAAACCAGTATTATATGAAATTCTGAAAGGTATTCTTTAAGAAGAGGAGGAAGAAGAAAAAGGTAAAGATAAAAATTATGAACAACAAATACATATCTATCAACATGTGAATCTAAAAATCAAGTGAATAAAAAATCTGATGAACAGAATAAACTGGTGAATATAATAGAATCAGGAGCATGAAAAAGGAGTGGACTGACAATTCTCGGGGGGAAAGGGGTGTGGGAGTGCGGGAAGAGACTGGACAAAAATCGTACACCTATGGATGAGGACAATCAGGGGGGTAAGGGCAGATGGTGGGGTGGGAACAGGGTGGAGGGGAGCTATGGAGGGAAAAAAGAGGAACAACTGTAATAATCTGAACAATAAAGATATAATAAAAAACAAACAAACAAACAAAACATAGTACTGCCATAAAAGCAGACACATAAATCAATGGAACAGAATAGAGAGCCCAGAAATAAACCCATGACTACACCATTTATTATTCTATGATAAAGGAAGCAAGAATATATACAATGGGGTAAATACAATTCTTCAATAAATGGTGTTGGGTAAATTGGACATATACATGCCAAAAATGCAACTAGACTACTTTCTTACACCATATATAAAAATAAACTCAAAACTAATCAAAGACTTAAATTTAAGACCTGAAATCATAAAATTCTAGAAGAAAACATAAGCAATAAATTCTTTGAATAAACTCTTTGACATTGATCTTAGCAATATTTTTTTTTATATGTCTACTAGGGCAAAGAGAACAAAAGCAAAAATAAACAAATATGACTGCATCAATTAAATAGCTTTTGCACTGCAAAAAAACAAACAATAAACCCAAAAAGCATCCTATTGAATGGGAGAAGATATTTGCCAATGATATATGCCAGATAAGGAGTTCATATCTATAATATATAAAGAACTCATACAGATTGACATAAAATAAACAATTTGGTTTATAAAATGGGCCAAGGACATGAGTAAACATTTCTCCAAAGAAGACATACAGATGGCCAACAGATGAAAAGATGCTCAACATCACTAATCAACAGGGAAATGCAAATCAAAACACTACAGTGAGATTCACCACTCTTATTCAACATAGTACTTGAAGTCTTAGCCACAGCAATCAGACAAGAAATAAAAGGCATCCAAATTGGAAAATAAGAGGTAAAACTATCATTATTTGCAGATGACATGATACTGGATATAGAGAAACCTAAAAAGTACACCAAAAAACTACTAGAACTAATAATAAGTTCAGTAAAGTAGCAGGACATAAAATAAACATGGAAGGAGACTTGAGTTGGGGTGGTAAACACACAGTACAATATACTGGTGATGTATTATAGAATTGTATACCTGAAACCTGTATAATTTTATTAGCCAATGTCACCCCAATAAAGTCAATAATAAAAATTAAATAAAAAAATAAACATCCAGACAGAAACAGTTGCATATTTATATACCAATAATGAGCTTTCAGATAGGAAAATTAAAAAATAATCCCATTTACAATTACATTAAAAAATATCTAGGAATAAATTTAACCAAGGGGGGTAAAAGACCTGTACTCAGAAAATTATAAGACACTGAAGAAAGACACTGAAAAAGATACAAATAAATGG